AGTCCTTGACTTACAACAGTTCCTTTAGTGACTGTTCAAAGTTACAATGTCACTGAAAAATATGACTTATGACTGTTTTCTGCAGTTACAACCTTTGTAGTATCCCCATGATCAAAATTCAGAGGCTTGGAAATGGACTCACATTAATTGCAGTGTCCTAACAGGGTCATGTGATCCCATTTTGCAAGCTTCTGACAAGCAAAGTCCAAGGGGAAGCCAGATTCACTTAACAACTGGCTTACTAACATATCAACTGCAGTGATTCACTTAACAACTGTGTCCAGAAAAGTTGTAAAATGGGGCAAAACTCACTTAACAAACGTCTCACTTCACAACAGAAATATGGGGTTCGATTACAGTCTTAAGTCAGATACTACCTGTATGATACATGCCTAAAGATTTTCAAACATGAACTGAGCTAGTTACTAAAGACAGACCTCTCAACAGAGTAGAAAATCATACTTGCTTTCCCAAATTCAAAAGGAGTCCCAAAGGGATATCAAAAGGGCAGCCTTTGGCACTGCCCTTTACCATTGCTCCGGTGGTATTTATAGGATCATACCCCGTAAACCACCAGAATAAATTCTGCACAAAGATAAAAAAAGGACTTGCCGGCAGGCAAAGCTGCATCTAATTGGAAATTGGCTTTTATTCAGGCCTGTAACCTTTTTCAAAAAAAAAATCATCATCATCATCTCCCCGGTATTCTACTACAGTCATCACTTTTGTCCTGACAAATGGCCAATTTAATCCTGAATTGACAAATTCAGTCCATATTAGATAGTAAGTGCTCCTGGGCATGTTCTCTCTACATTTTAACAAGCAATTTGAAGCCAATATAAGGGCAAGCCACTTGTCTTGCAGTCTATGAGCCAATAAAGCCTGAATAGCAATGGCCTAATTTCCAGGAAAAATAAAATACTGCATTAAAACATATATTACAGCAGTTACAGCAGATAACACAATGCATGCAGATATCCCAGCTTTCCATAGATTGATAATGTTTACATAGGCTTCCAGTAATCATTAACAGTAAGGGGCTCAACTCAAGATTTATGGCCCTCCTACTCGTGCCAACAAGGAGGGTCTACTTCAGATCCCATCGGTCAAAGAATCTGGATCCATCTGTCGGGATCCAGAAGAAGAACCTTTTTTAGATGGCCATGGATCCATCTAGTAATCCCAGGAATTAGCAATCCCAACCCTTTGAGAAGAGGAAATTTGCTTTCATCAAACACTCTTTTCTTAGACTCAGCCCTCCATCAAAAAAAAAAAACCTGCAGATGACGATACTGATTTTGGAAAAGACCTGTGATAAAGTTTACTGTATTTTTCAGAGTATAAAATATGCCTTTCCCCCCCCTAAAAGAGGGTGAAAATTTGGGTGTGTCTTATACACTGAATGTAGCCCCGCCCACCCACTAGCTCACACCCTTTGGCCTCTGCCTCCCAGCAATTTACCTCCTTGCAGCAAGTGGGGAAAATGGGGCTTGGGGAGGCAGCAATAGGCTATGGCAATCCCTGATAATAGGGAGACCCATGCTGAAATTGAAAGTGAAACTTGCTGTTTGCTGGCAAGAGGCAAATTGCTGGGAGGCAGAGGCAGATTTTTTTTCTTGTGCTAATCAGGTTGTTTGCTGTTTGCTGCAAGGAGGTAAATTGCTGGGAGGCAGAGGCAGATTTTTTTTCTTGTGCTAATCAGGTTGTTTGCTGTTTGCTGCAAGGAGGTAAATTGCTGGGAGGCAGAGGCAGATTTTTTTTCTTGTGCTA